AGATGTTCCACCTTCACCAGAAATCTCACAAACATATTCTCCTTGATCAGATTCAGTGAGGTTATGGATTTTGAGCTCATAGGTACCATCTGCTGAATAATGAAACTGGAAATGCCCATTTTCCTTCAGTTTCTTGCCATCTTTATACCAGGTGACCTCTTTTGCACTTAATACACTGCTTTCAACCACACAGGTCAGCTTTGCAATCTCTTTAGAAGCTTCTGCTTTCAGGAACTGAGTAATCTTTGGTGGGGCAGAGACTGGAAGGTGCTGAACTTTCTCTGTTGATGTTGTTTTTGTCTCTGTGGGTGATACGGCTTTGGGGTGAGAAGGTTCTGGAGATTTCACTCGTTTTGGAGACTTAACTGCTTCTGGGGATTTCACCCGAGGCTCTGGGGATTTGACTCTTGGTGGTGATGTCAGAGCCTTTTCAGTTACCCTGGCCTTTTGAACAGTCAGAGTGAACTCTGCTTCTTGTTTCCCTTCACTGTTTTCTACCACCACGCTGTAATTGCCCTCATCGGAAGCCTGAACTGAAGAGATCTCAAAGGTTGATTTATACTTTGTGGTGGTCACTTGGTGGTGGGCAGAAGTACTTAGCACTTGTCCTTTACGCAGCCAGGTCACAGTTGGTACCGGCTCACCATCGGTGTCACAAGAAAACCTTGCAGACTCGCCCTCGTAGACCGTCATGGACCGTGGCTTTGTTAGAATTCTTGCCGCCAAAGTTGTCTTGATCTTTCTGGTTGTGGATTTTTCTTCCAGCGACTTTTCTTCTAATGCAGCACTTTTCATTTCTGCAGATGCATAGTGTTCATAGGAGGAGAGACTTTCCCTTGTCTCCGTCATCTGTGATTTCACTTCCCTGACAGAAGATGAAGCTTCCATCTCAGATGTTTTCTTAAATGATGAAACAGCATACGCCTCTGTTCTTGTCAGCTCAGGGAAAACAGATCTGGGGACCTCTTCATCTCTGCGCCTGGAAGCATAGGTGGTATAATCCCCTCCTGTTACGTCCAATGTTGCATAGTCAGAAGCTTCGCCCTTGTAGTTGGTGCACACAGCACGGTAGGTTCCACTGTCATCAATATGACAGTCCAGAATTTCCAGGGTCAGAACTCCACTCATATTGGTGTAATGAATCTTACTGCTTTCTTGGAGTTCCACACCATTGTGGTACCATTTAACCTCAGCAGTTGGCTTGGACTGAACATTTAAAATAAAACGTGTATTTTGGCCACATGGTACCCTGTGTGAGCGCATTCTCAATGTGATTCGAGGGGCATGGTCCAGTGTGAAAGGCTGCTGACTCAAAACTTCATACTTCCTTTCTGATGTCTTCTGAGTTTTTAAAGCAGCTTTCATGGACTCATACCTGGAAAAGATATCAAATCTTGCAGACCTCTCAAATCTCGAGAGTGATCTCTCACTAGACACAGGGCTGGGGGATCGTGGGCGAGTTCTTTCTGGAGTAGGTGACCTTCTTTCTGTGTCATCTTCGTATTCCTCAGCCGGTTGTGGACGTGACCGGATCAGCTCAGACACCGGCCTCATTAACTCAATATAAGTTGGAGACAGGGAGCGCCGTCGTCTCAGTAGTCTAGATGCGGATAAGGATGATTCTCTTTGAGCACGTTTTGAGATTTCGTATTCTTCCTCAATTTCTGTTATTTCTGTCACTTCTCTTTGTCGCCTTGATTTCTTTCTAGACTTTTCCTCCTTTGACATGTAGTCAAGTTCGCTTTTGTATTCTGAGAGACGCTGGGTGGTCGTAACCGGGCGAAGCAACTCTTCATCCTCCTTCTCAGCCATGATTCTTTGCCGTTGCTTTGGCTGTCTGTACGCAGCCTGGGCATGCCGTTCCCTCAGTTCTGCATAACTTGTACTAGCTTCAGCCTTTGTTGGGATGTGATAGGTTGAATACCTGAAGTCTTTTCTTGTTTCCTCCACCTTGACATGAGCTTGTGGTGAAGAGTAACGTAGGCTAGAAAGCTCAAAGCGTGGAGGGCTTCGGCTTGGGGGTGAAGCTGAAAAACCTAATTCAAGCTCTTCTTCAAGACGCAGCCTCTCTTCCTCTGTTCTTTTCATTGCTAAGTAGTCATCAATGGGGAGGAGTAATTCTTCATCAGAGATGTCTCCAAGAGAACGTCTTCTAGGTCGGTAGTAAAAGTAATAATCAGGAGAAGGTGTACGCCGGCGGGCTGGTCTCACTATCTCAAGATCATCTTGGGACAGTTTAGGAATACGCCATTTAGGTCTGTATTGATCCGTAATGCGTGGAAGAGGCATCACATAGAACTGTTCCCATCTTGAAAGGCGGATGCGCTTGGGTCGTTTCTGTACAACTCTGTCAAGTTTCCCAGGCATTTCATACTGATCACGTATCTTTTTATACCACTTCATGTCAGACATGGGCACGAACTGCTTGATGCGTTGGTCTTCTTCTATGGTAGTCTGCTTGTACTTGCGTGGCTCTGGTACATCATAAGGCATCCGGAGTTTTCTCTCCTCTTTCTTTTCTTCTGTCTCAAGTCTGAATTCCCCTTTTACAGTCTTGGTGCTTACAGCTGGTTTGTAAAGGATGGAAGCTTCTCTCAGAGCCTCTTTAGCTACCTGTGTCAGTGGCACACTTTCAGTTCCAGAAAGAATTTCAGCCATTCTGAGGGTTTTGTCAATTTGTTTTTGTACGTGTCGCTCATGCTCCTCCCTACTCTTGAATTCCTGTTTCTTGTACCTCAGGCGTTCCACTTGTAGGTGAGCCTGGCAGCTGGTGGACCCAGCTGTATTAGTGGCTGTGACTCTATAATAACCTGTGTCTTCAGGCAAAGTGTCCCTGATGTGCAGAGCATAATAATCCAAGCCTTCATGGATAATTTCAATGTTAGGTCCAAGGGACAGTGGCTGACCATCTTTCTCCCATTTTAATGTTGGTGGGGGGATGCCAGACACTCTGATCTCAAAGCAGACACTTTGGCCTTCTTGGCATTCTGCATTTGCCAGTAACCTTTTGAACATGGGTCTTAAGGTACTGTCTGATGGAGGTGGGTGTAGGGTTACCGTCAGCTTTGCTTTACAGCTGTCTTCACCGTATTTGTTCCTTGCCACAACAGTATATTCAGCGTCATCATCTATAGTGACACTGTTGATTGTTAATTGGTAAAGACCCTTGTCTGACTCAAATGTGTACTTCTTGTCATCATCACCTGGTTTGATTTTCTGACCTGATTTATACCATGTTACACGAGGCTCTGGGTGGACAGTTATAGTTACTCCAAACCGGACATTTTCACCTACATAAGCTGTCTTATTATAGAGAGGCAGGGTAAATTCTGGTGGCCTTTCCAGGAGTCTCATTGTATCTGTTCTGCGCTTAATTTTCTTCATGGTTCTACGGCAGTAATAGTCATAGACTTCTCTCACACCTTTAACAAATAGCTCTGCATAAGAACTGTCTTCACCATAGTCATTGACTACTTTGCATCGGTAGGTACCATCATCAAATTTGGTAATGTCTTTGACATAGAGGATGGCCACTCCATCTTCATAGGTGATTTCATATTTCTCACTGTTCTCCAGCTGTCGGACGCCGAAGTACCAAGTCACTTGGGTAGACTGATCATAATTTTCAATTTTGCATACATATTTGGCATGTCCTCCTTCTTCACCAACTGCATGCATTATCTGCCCAGAAACTGGGCCAATTTCAATGGATGCTACTTTAACTTTAGCAACACTCACTCCCCTCTGAGATCGAATTGCACCACCACAGGAGATCCGGGCTGCTGACACAACCATGTTGAGGTCTTTCTTGATCAGGGTGTGGTAATAACGCCGGTGTTTTAATGTTCTGATAACTTTAGTACTGACTCTTTCTATCTTCTGCTTCAACCATGGGTGCTGGAGAGCCTCTGATGCTGTCATGCGAGATTTTCTCTCTTTCACTAACAACCGGTCAACAAAATCCATGGCTTCAAGGCTAATCTCTTTGAATGCTTCTTCATCGAAAGTATATTCAGCATTCATGATATTCTCAATGATCTGTTGGTTAGTTTCAGCCAGGAATGGGTTGATACCACTCAATAGCACATATACCAGTGTTCCAAGTGACCACATGTCTGTGGCTGTGCTGACAACATCATGCTGGTGGACTTCAGGTGCATAGTATTCTGGGGCAGTGAATAGAAGCCTGAAGTTGTCCCCTGGTTTCAGCTGACGGGCTTGACCAAATTCTATTATTTTAATGGTAGAGCTTCTTCTGGTTTGGTAAATGATATTTTCTGGTCTAATGTCAAAGTGTCCAATATTATGACTGTGTAAGAACTGAAGTGCTTCACAGACCTGGTGAACATAACTTACAATTTCTCTTTCATTAAGTTCAAAAGCACTTGTGTTAATGCGCTCAAATATGTCAAGTCCTGATATAAACTCAAAGATCATAACTAATTCTTCCATGCTTTCAAATGATTCATGGAGGTATAAGATGTTTCTATGCCTAGCAATATTCAGAATGGAAATTTCCTTCTTTACCAAAACCTGATCAGTCCCTTTGACTTTAACAAATTTGGCCATGTATGTCTTCTTTGAGGATGTTTCAACACAACGGTGGACAATTCCAAACTCACCACGCCCAAGATCTTCAGCAATCATATATTTCTCATAGAGTTCCTTGGTTGAAGAGTGAGATGCTTTAGTCATGGAGACTTCCCTGGTTTCATCTACCTCTTCATCATAGTTCATAGCTCTGGTCTTATCTTCTTTGGTTATGGTTGGTTCTGAAGGCTCAGAAGGCTTGCTCAGACCAAATTTATTTTCAGCTATTACCCGGAACTGGTAACTTGTTTTTCCAAATAAGTTGATCACAGTATAACGTGTTTCTCGGGCTTGTCCTACACGAAGCCATCTTTCTGCAGTAGTTGCACATTTTTCAACAATGTAGTTGGTGATTTTGCTGCCACCATCAGAGGCCGGCTCAGTCCATGTTAAGTTGACAGAATCTCGTGAGACATCACTAACTTTGACTCCTCTGGGTGGGTCAGGAACATCAGCCACATCCAGTTCAACTGTCTTCTGATCAATTCCAAATCTGTTTTTAGCACAGACCACATAGAAACCAGCATCTTTTCTCTCTACCCCATTGGGGAAAACAAGTGATGTGAAGGATCTTGTGACAATAACTTGGTAGTGGCCATTATTGTCAATGAGATCTTGTCCTTTCTGCCAGGTGATCACAGGATCTGGTTTGCCACTGAAAGGAATCTTGATGCTGACCACTTCACCTCGGAGAGCATGAACTGCTCCCATGCCTTCAAGAGTTTTAGGTAAGTGTATCTTAGCTGGAACTGTATCAGAAAAAAATAAGAATATAATTTAGCAACACCTAACAATATTTGTTTAAGTGCAATAACCTGCACCCCCCAAGTTAATAACTCATTTAGCCTCAAATTGATGATAATATATTTTTACCTTCCACTTCCAAGGAGGCAGTGCCAGACACAGATCCCCCTTGGTTGGTAGCTCTGACTTGGTAAACTGTGGCATCATCATCTGTGACACTTGCAATGATGAGCTGGTGATAGCCACCCTTAAATTCTTGAATCCTATATTTTAATCCATCTGCAATGATTTCTTTGCCTTGTCTGTACCATTTCACGATAGGTTTTGGATGACCAGTCACTTTGCAGACCAAAGTAGCATTGCTCTGATATCTGACATTTAGATTTCTCAGTTCCTCTTTAAAGTGTGGTGCTTGAATTGGAACATCAGATTTGGGAGTGATGGGTTCTGATATTTCACTCCATTCACTTTCCCCACCTAGGTTTTCACATTTCACACGGAACTCATATTCAAGACCTTCAATAAGGTTTTTCACCGAAAAGACAGTTTCTCGAATTTCTTCTGTTGTCACAGAAATCCATTTATTCTGCTTCTTCTCGCGCTTCTCAAGGTAGTAATTTCTAATCTTTGCACCTCCATCACTGACAGGTGGCTTCCAAGCCACAACACAAGAATCTTTTGTGACAGCAGTAATAGTTGGTTTGCCAGGAGCACCTGGCTTTTCTATTAAAAAAAACAAAAGATTTAAGTCACGAGATGAAACAGGCAGCTTTATTAAAGCTTATTTATTTAAGAAAAGAATGTTATGAGTCCAAAATTTTATTAAAAAATAGCTATTCCAGAAAAATGAAATTGGTTACTTTATACTAAGACATATCAAAAACCAAAGTTGTATTTTTAAAAAGGGGTTAGGATATATATTTCTCCTTTTAGATATGCAAACATTCAATTAAAATGAAAGTAAAGGCACTTGTACTTTATCTGAATCTTTGCTATTTCCTTTCAAAATTTCTTTCTGTGTAAAAGAATTTCATGCAAAGATGGAACTTTACCATAGGAAGATATGGAAATCAGGTTGTACTCACCAAATGGACTCTTAATGATCACAACTGAGGACACTTCTAGAGGTTCACTGATGCCAAAAGTGTTCTGAGCTGAAACCCGGAAGTAATAGCCAGCATTTTCTGTGAGGTTCACAATTCTACAGGTTGTCACTGAGATGGCTGAAGACACCAATTGCCATTCAGCCCCCTCCTTGGCCTCACATTTTTCCACCACATAGTTGGTGATCCAGGAGCCTCCATCATCTGCAGGTGGTTTCCAGCTGATCACTGCAGAGTTCTTCAATAGAGCTTCGATCACAATTGGTCCTGTAGGTTTGTCTGGTTTATCTGTTGGGGGAAAATACAATTGTAGTGATTTTCATAGTGCGTTTTTGAGATTTTTTTTTTCTTTAAAAATAAAAAGCACTGCCGGGCGCGGTGGCTCACGCTTGTAATCCCAGCACTTTGGGAGGCCGAGGCGGGCGGATCACAAGGTCAGGAGATCGAGACCACGGTGAAACCCCGTCTCTACTAAAAATACAAAAAAATTAGCCGGGTGCGGTAGTGGGCGCCTGTAATCCCAGCTACTCAGGAGGCTGAGGCAGGAGAATGGCGTGAACCCGGGAGGCAAAGCTTGCAGTGAGCCGAGGTCGCGCCACTGCACTCCAGCCTGGGGCACACAGCGAGACTCCGTCTCCAAAAAAAATAAAAATAAAAAGCACTGAAAATAAAAATAAAATACCTTGTATTTCCACATCAAGGATGGCATCAACTGTTCCGAAAACATTGCTGAGCTGGACTTTGTATTTCCCAGCATGAGTCTTACGTTGGACGTTCTTCATGACAAGATGAGTATAGTGCTCAGTGTTTTCAATAGTAATGTTTTCTGAGTTTTGCAAAAGCTTCTGACCATGGAACCAAGTCATGGCAGGTACTGGACGACCAATGTACATAACATGAAGCCGAAGTGTAGAACCCACAGCTCCATAATATTTCTCTTTCAGTGGGTAACCAGGATGGAACTGTGGTGTTGCTTGCAGGAGAAGCTTACTACTGGTCTCTACTTCTCCAACCTCATTGGTGGCTATGCAGGTATAAACACCTTCATCTTCCTGTTCCTCTGTCATTACTGTAAGAGTGTGTGTGCGTCCATCTGAAGACATTTTGTATTTCCGGCTTTGTATGAGTTCTTTACCAAATCTGTACCATTTAATGTCAGGAAGAGGCCTTCCAACAATCTGGCATGAGAGTTGAGCAGCTTCACCCAATTTGGTGGTAACATCCTTCATTTCTTTGCGTATTCCTGGGGCCTCTCCAGCTGAATGATATGAAAGATAATATTAAGTGATTGTTACTGCTCAATCTGTAATCCTTTGTCCTTGTACATCAGGAATGAATTTACCTTATTTACTAACACATACCATGATTTACATATTAGCCTAATTCTTAAAAACTCTTTGAAGTGATTTTCTTAGGATCATATGGTAAATAGGGATTCAGTGAGCACATTGTCACATTTTCTGTAGAATGACTTTTTCCCTTTATGATTGGAAGGGAGTTAATAATGTATAGGCTTTTAAGGGACTATAAATTCTCTCTATAATTCTGTACTATTCTTGCCCTTACTTAGGTTCATTGAAGTGGCATACAATTGTTGACCTTTCAAATCTTGTTGGGAAATATTTTAAAAAAGAAACCATTGCATTTGAGGGAATTGCTCAAGGAAAGTGCTCAGTTCACTGCATCTAACATCTCCTGCTGAAGTTATGTGCTTGGAATGGTTTCCTATAGAACTTATCATATTTCCTGTGTGTGCACTTGCTTTTCTTTCTAAACACTTGCTCTCCAATAAAGCTTTCCAGGGTTCTACTTAGTATAGAGGGGGAATTAGCCTTAATTTGTTTAGTTTGTAAATCGTAAGTAGAGAACCAAAGGCTACTTACATGTGAGTTTAGTCTTTATAGACATAGCAGTCCTTCGAGGTCTGCTCAGCCCAGTCTCATTCTCAGCAAAAACCCTGAATTCATATTCAGTAGCTTCCAGCAAACCCCCTATTGTGAATTGCTTGTCCTTAATACGTTCCTTACTGCTCTTCTTCCAGGCACTGTCTCCAGACTGTCTATATTCAACCCAATATCCAAGAATTTCTTTGCCACCATCACATTCAGGTTTCTCCCACTGTAGAGTGACACTATCTTTGGATATTGAAAGAATCTCAAGTTCTCCTGGTTGGCTTGGTTTATCTGAAATATTGTAAAATAATGAAAAGGGAATCAGCTTTACTGGTGAAATAAAAGGACCAAACATGGCTTGCTTCTTTAATTTAACCCCTTCTTCTGAATTCCTTACCAAATGGATCTTTGCAAACAACTGGTTCAGAAGCAGGGCTGGTCTCACTTAGGCCAACATCATTCTGTGCAATGATTCGGAACTGATACTCAGCATCGGGAACAAGCCCTGTGACAGTGTACATTGTGGTAGTGATCTGAGTCTTGTTGTGTCTGACCCACTTGTCAGTGGATGTCTCTTTGCGTTCAATGTAGTAGCCTGTGACTCGAGAACCACCATCATCTTTGGGCCGGGACCAGGACAAGCTAACAGAACTCTTGGTTACATCGAGTACTTCCGGAGGATTGCTTGGAGGTTCTGGAGGATCTATAAATATAAGTAGAAAGCACACATGTATTAGAGTACAGTCCCAAGTCTTATAAGCCGATGATTTTCATTTAAAAACAGAAAAGTGCTGAAATAATGTTTATAATTTTGTGGTTGAAAGGACACTTACTCAGTGGTGTTTTTGGTATGACTGGTTCCTCCGATTTTAAGGGCTTGCTTATGCCAAACTGGTTTTCTGCTGAAACACGGAAATGGTATTCTACATTCTCTTTAAGGCCTTTTACCACCAGAGATGTACCTCGGACTCTAGAATCAATGGTATACCAGGCGGCTTTAGGCACTTCTCGTCTCTCGAGGATGTAACCTAAGATGTCAGCACCACCATCATCAGCAGGAGGTCTCCAGCTGACCCTCACAGAGCGGGCTTGGATGTCATCATATTCCAGTGGCCCTTCTGGACTGTTGGGACTTCCTATCACCCTGACCTTGATGTAGACAGCCTTCTTGCCACATTTATTTTCCAGAACCAGGTCGTAAGTGCCAGAATCACCCCTGTCTGCTTCTTTGATCACAAGCTCAGTGTGTGTTTCAGATGTTGCAATCATGGCACGCTTACTAATATCCTGGCCTTCCTTGGTCCATTTACATATTGGGAATGGTTTTCCTTTGATTGGTATGGTAAGTCTGATGACTCCACCTTGCCTTACAAAGATACCTTCCTGGTATCTTTCATCAAGTTCATAATCAGGATATTCTGGAAAAAAGAGTAGGGTTTCAATTTAGCATTTGGGGTAGGGGGAGTAAGAAATGTCTATGGCAATTATTGCAGAAAGTAAATGATCATATGTCTCACCAAGCATTTCAGTGACTTTGACTGTTCCTGGTACCTCAGCAGGCTCGCCAGGTCCACCAGCATTACAAGCTAGGATGCGGAACCTGTATTCCGCACCCTGAGGTAGGTGTGTTAGAGTATACTCTCGAATCTTGGTTGGAGTGGTGTTACACTTGGTCCATTCATGTTGATCTACTTTTTGCATTTCAATCAAGTAGCCTGTGACTTTAGATCCTCCTTCATCTTCTGGAACGCTCCAGGCCAGGGAGACTGATGTCCTTGTTGTATCAGTAACTCTTGGGTTTTGTGGCTTTCCTGGAGGAGCTGGGAATAAGAATAAGACAATATACTGGTTAAAGTTGCCGCAAAGTTGAAAATTAGCTCTGCCACCTAACAAATTCAATGAGTTGTTGAAACAGGGACTGTTAACATTAGCCTGTTTTTTTGTCTTGTGAAAATTTTATTCATGGCCGGGTGTGGTGGTTCATGCCTATAATCACAGCACTTTGGGAGGCCAGGGTAGGCAGGTACTTGAGGTCAGGAGTTCAAGACCAGCCTGGCCAACATGGTGAAACCCCGTCTCTACTAAAAATATAAAAATTAGCCATGTGTGGTGGCAGACATCTGTAATCCCAGCTACTCAGAAGGCTGAGGCAGAAGAATTGCTTGAACCTGGGAGGCAGAGGTTGCAGTAAGCCAAGATCATGCCACTGCACTCCAGCCTGGGCGACAGAGTGAGACTCTGTCTCAAAAAAAAAAAAAAAAGAAAAAGAAAATTTTATTCATTTTATCAGTTAAAAATACTTAACATTTTTTCACTTTCCTTTCTCTTAAATGTGCTTCATTTTTAATCACTATTATTATCTTACATTTATCATCAGTTTTTAAAGTGCTTCCAGAAATATTAACTTGTTTTAAAATGTTAAGTGTGATAGAAAGCATATATTATGAATCTTATCTTAAAGAGGTGGAAATTGACTCCAGAGAAGAATATTAAAAATTATTTGCCAGAAATTGCTAGCAGCTGGGGTGGGGAAGGGACTGATTACAAATGGACACAAGGGAACTTTACGGGGTAATAAAAATATTCCACATTTTGATTGTGGTGGTGATTACAAAACAGTACATTTTTCAAAAGTCATAGAACTGTATACTTCAAAAAGGTGAATTTTCCCACATATAAATTATAACTCAAACTTGACTGATACAAAATGTACTTACCAATTGGATCCATGGCAACAATGGGTTTGGAAGGACGACTTGGTTTTCCAGACCCTCTTGCATTAATGGCTGTGACACGGTGTTCATATTCTAAGCCTTCAATAAGGCCAGTGGAGCGGTACCGTGTCATTGTCACAGGTACTTTATTTACACGGACCCATCGATCTGCTCTCACTTCTTTGCGCTCCACAATGTATCCAGTCACTTGGGAGCCACCGTCATCCTCTGGTGGGTACCAAGTAAGTGTCATACCATCACGGGAAACATCAAATATCTGTAATGTTTCTGGGGGTCCAGGAATACCTGTGACAAGACAGAGGTTAACAGGATATGGCAATATGGATAAATTGAAACAATGACTCATATATTTGTGTGTGCCTTAGGTTTTGGTTGGTATTTTAAAAGACATATAAGACACATGACTATTTTTCCAATAGTTTCACTTTTGTGCTATTTGTAAATTTTAATTTAAATCATTTAATTAATTAATTATTTTTATTAAAAATTTTGACTTTTGTTTTAGGTTCAGGGGTACATGTGCAGGTTTGTTACATGGGTATATTGGGTGATGCTGAGGTTTAATTTTGTACTTTCCTTGCTGTTCCTCATTTTCTTCAATTCTACATTTATTAAGTATGGACTGTGTATTTTTTTCTCACTATAACATTGCCAGTCCTCCTTCCTTTCCTCTCTTCCTCCTACCCTTCTCTCTTTTCTTCCTTCCATTCTTTTCTTCCTATCTCCCTCCTCTTCTCTTTCATAAGAGTGAAGATTAAAAAAAAAATCAAGCCTAAGTGTGTGGAAAACCTCTGAGAAAAGGAGGTTTAGAAACCTTAGAAAGACCACAGGGTTAATTTTGTGACCTATTTTTATTTACATTAGGGCATATTAAAAACAAATTCTTTTTTGTTAACATTCAGAATCAGAGGTGGAGAGAGTGGTGGAAGGGTCCATGGACTTACGGATGCTGCTGCGACACTCTATGACCTCAGACTGCAAGTAAGAGCCAATCCCAAAGCGGTTTGTTGCAGCCACACGGAACACATACTCATTTCCTTCAGTGAGTCTGGTAAACTTAAACGTGGACCTAGTCACTGATTCAGAAACGGGCAGCCATCCTGGACGATGAGCATCACGTTGTTCTACCACATAACCACTCAATGGAGCACCACCGTCCAATTCAGGTGGTTCCCAGGAAATGGTAATTGATGTAGCATCAATTTCATCAATCCTAATAGGTCCTGTTGGTGGACCAGGCTTGTCTATGAAAGAGAAGAAATACAAGAAATTAATTTTTACTTCAAATCAAAATTGGGTGACTGAACATCAACAACTTGCTTGTGTCTTTGTCACACATCCTTACCAAGAATGATAACTTTAATGGTTTCTGAAGTAGTTCCAGTAACATTCTTCAGTTCAAGTGTGTATTCTCCAGTATCTCTGATAGTGGTTTCACGGATGGTTAATTTAGCTACTTTAGTGTGAGTTTCAACTGTGACACGCTCTGATTCTCTCAGTTTAGAACCAGCAAAGAACCAGGAAGCAGCAGGAGGTGGACGGCCAGCAATAGGTATCACCAGCTCTACTGGTCTGCCAGCTGGGACATGGATGGTCTTCTGAGGCATTGTAGAAAGATCGATTGTTGGCAACACTATGGGAAACAAATCAGGTATTTATTCTGAAGCATTATTTTTATGGTAAATTGTTACGAATTCTGAATTTTCATTTTACTTTACCATTATTATTATTTGGCTATTTGGTACATACCTCTGAGGTCTTGTACAGTCACGGCTGTGACAATCTCTCTTGCTTCTGACACACCTTTCTCATTTTGTGCCCTCACTCTAAATAAGTATTGTTCACCTTCATTTAAGGAAGTAACAGTGTGCTCTAGGACTGTGGGTTTTAAGGTGACAACCTTCATCCATCTCTCTGTGCCAGCTTTGCAGGCCTCGAGAACATATCCAGTGAGTCGGCTACCGCCATCATAGAGTGGTTTTTCCCAGGCAAGGGTAACAGTGGATTTGGTGACATCAACCACTTCTAGCTTTGTAGGCACCAAAGGCACTTCTGAGACCAGTACTGCATCAGATGTTTCACAGGGTTCTCCAATGCCATAAATATTTTCTGGCAGCACTCTGAAGTAGTACATGGTTCCTTCTACAAGTCCAGAAATTCTGTAAAGTGTCTTGCTGCATTTGGTAGTTACTGTTTTGAATGCTCTCATGGCAGCTTCACGCTTCTCAACGATGTAATTGTTGACTGGAGCTCCACCATCAATCGTGGGAATTTCCCAAGTTATAGTCACAGAATCTCTTGATACTTCCTTAACTTTCACTGAAGGACAGGGACCAGGAGTATCTGAAAAACAGAATGAAAGATTAATATTTCCTATTTGCCTGATAGCTTTTTTTTTCCTTGGGGAAATATAATCAACATAGTTCCTCTCTAGAGAGGTGATCAATCATAGGTCAAGCTATGTTGTTTTAGAGGATCTACTCATTGTATAGCCAATTTTAAGTAAAATGCTTACCATAGACTTTAACGAGGACTGTTGCTGATTTCTTGCCAGATTGGTTTTCAGCTTCAATTGTGTATTTTCCAGCATCATACCGATTAACTTTGTCCACTATTAGCAATGAGTAGCTCTCAGTGGTGTCAATAATTGCCCGACTTGCAAGGTCAATGCCCTGCTTGCTCCACGTGATGACAGGAGGTGGTCTTCCAGATACAGACACCATCAAGCGCAAGGAGGCCCCAGCCCTGATGGTCACAGTCTTCTTTAGATCATCTGCAAGCTCGAGATCTGGTATTTCTGGAAATTTAATGACAAAATTTAATTAATTCATGGACAGGTGTGAGAAGAAAATAATTCACCTAAAAGTTTCTATGATATATACCTATTCTTTCCACGGGCTCAATTTCAGCAATGGATTCACTGTATTCGCTCATACCCTTCACGTTCACGGCAGCAACTCTGAAGGAATATTTCTGACCCATTTTAAGATCTGGCACAGTGAATTCAGTATTTCTTATTGTGGCTTTGGTATGCACTCGGTACCACTGATCAGTGTCCTTCTCTTGCATTTCCAGAACATATCCTGTGATGTCAGCACCACCGTCGTACATGGGTTTGGTCCATGCCAAACTAATGCTGTGTTTGGTGGTATCCACAACTCTTGGAGCAGAAGGTGGTCCAGGGGTATCTATGGAATTTAAAAAGTGAGATGCAGATATTAGGCAAATAAGGAAATGTTGAGATTTGTATTTTTTGTTTTCAAGACTCACAAAGGCATTATTGCTCTTTGTCCACACTCGCCAAAATAATCTTTATTAACTAGGCTCCTGATATTGTAGGACAGCACTACATGCCACATTATAATTTAATATTATTATCTTAATAATTAAATTGCTTTAGGAAAGTGGATAGTTCTTCCCCACTGCTTTGGCTAGCTTCACTGTGTATTCTCCGTTAGCTAAGCTCATTACTTAAAGTACCCGTTCTTAGGGACTTTTCTTTAGTTGCTTATCTTTCACTGGGTTAGTATCACTTGCCACCAATACATTTCTAATGAATACAGGAATTGGATTCCTCAGTGTAGGGAAAAGAAAGGGAGATCAGATTGTTACTGTGTCTATGTATAAAGGGAAGACATAAGAAACCCCATTTTGACCTGTATTCTGAACAATTGCTTTGCCCTGAGATGCTGTTAATCTGTAACTTTGCCCCAACCTTGAGCTCACAGAAACAAAGGTTGTATGGAATCAAGGTTAAAGGGATCTAGGGCTGTGCAGGATGTGCCTTGTTAACAAAATGTTTACAGGCAGTATGCTTGGTAAAAGTCATCGCCATTCTCCAGTCTTGATAAACCAGGGGCACAATGCATTGTGGAAAGCGGCAGGGACCTCTGCCCTGGAAAGCCGGGTATTGTCCAAGGTTTCTCCCCATGTAATAGTCTGAAATATGGCCTCGTGGGATGGGAAAGACTTGACCATCCCCCAGTCCAACACCCGTGAAGGGTCTGTGCTGAGGAGGATTAGTAAAAGAGGAAGGCCTCTTGCAGTTGAGATAGAGGAAGCCACTGTCTCCTGCTTGCCCCTGGGAACTGAATGTCTCGGTATAAAACCCGGTTGTACATTTGTTCACTTCTGAGATAGGAGAAAAACCACCCTATAGCGGGAGGCGAGACATGTTGGCAGCAGTGCTGCTTTGTTATTCTTTACTCCACTGAGATGTTTGGGCGGAAAAAAACAAATCTGACCTACGTGCACATCCAGGCATAGTACCTCCCCTTGAACTTAATTATGACATAGATTCTTTTGCTCACATGTTTTTTTGCTGACCTTCTCGTTATTATCACCCCACTCTCCTACCGCATTCCTCTTGTTTAGGTAGTGAAAAATAATAATCAATAAAAACTGAGGGAACTCAGAGACCGGTGCCGGTGCAGGTCCTCCGTATGCTGAGTGCTGGTCATCTGGACCCACTTTTCTTTCTCTATAATTTGTCTCTGTGTCTTATTTCTTTTCTCAGTCTCTTGTCCCGCCTGATGAGAAATACCCACAGGTGTGGAGGGGCTGGCCCCCTTCATCTCAACTTCCCCAATTCAATCCCAGTGACTATTCCTTTATAGTTCTTGGACTCAGACTCTGTAAAAGGATTTGCCACTTACTTTTGAAGCTCTTATGACAATTATTTTGTCAGTAACTTATGAAACCACTAGAAACTGTATGTTCCTGCTAAACCTCTTCTTAAAAGGAGTTTTGCCATTTTTCTTTTCAGTTGTTACAGTACAATGGTACAATGCATTTTTCTCTAAGGAAAATTTATGAAATAGATTCTTTTCATATTGATAGTAGAATATTTTTCCATTAATTGGAAAATGCTGTAACAATTTTTAGCAATTCTAATTGCTGACTTAACAGATGTAGTAGTTAAAATGTTCTCTGACTTAAGCTATATTTATGATCATGTGAATAAGCATATGCTTTTCTAGACCATTCATAAATTCTACAAATTCTTAGAATTTGTTTGTTGGAAAATTATCTGTCATATAGTTCTGAGGAGCATTGTATTTATGTATGATTCTTGGAGCTCACATGATGGTTCTCTGCATGAGATGAAGTTGGAAGCTTCGCTGGGCTCACTGTTACCAGCTGCATTCACTGCAGTCACTCGGAACTGGTAATCACAACCCTCCATCAGGCTCGTCACCTTCAGCCTGGTATCATACACGACATAGTCTTTGTTGACACGTGTCCAGCGCAGGCTCTTCTTCTCACGTTTGTCTACTAGGTAGTTGCTGATTTCATTGCCACCATCAGATTCAGGTTTTGTCCACTGAATGATGATATGCTCTTTGCCAGTCCCAACTTCTTCAGGTATGCCAGGTGGTGATGGAATAGCTGTTTATGAAAACAAGGATGATTAGAATTGCACAAAATTACTATTAATAAGACTGCCCTTCTCCCTCCTCCCCCGATTCTATTACATTTCAACTGTCAAATTGTTTGAGTGTTAATACTCACTGAATGAGTTTCTGGCTACAATTGGCTCTGATTCAACAGGCACACCAGGGCCATATTTGTTTACTGCCCTCACTCGGAATATGTACTCATTGTTCTTGATGAGCCTGGTAACGACATAGGATAGAGTTGGGCATTCGCCTTCAACAATCACCCAGTTGAGCCTGCTAGTCTCGCGTCTTTCCACGATGTAGTGAGTGATTTCTGCTCCTCCGTCTTCCTGAGGAAGGCTCCAGGCTAAAGTGCACTTCTCCTCTGTTACTCTGCTGACGGTGAGCTTTCCACATGGGCCAGGGGAATCTGAAACAGGTGTAATGACAAGCCATGATGAAGATCATTCTTTCTGCCCACACTAGAAAATGCTATATAAATGTGAGAACATTTGACATGCTTACCAAGCACTTTGACCATGACAGACACGGCCTTGGTCCCGCTGGCGTTTTTCACTGTTAAAGTGTATTTTCCAGTGTCACTCCTGTCACAGAACTTGATCACAGCAGTTGCTCGTTTGCCAGTATACTGCAAAGAGACTTTTTCACAGAGATCTAGCTCCTTGTCTCCTTTGGTCCAGATAATTTTGGGTTCAGGTTTGCCACCAACTGCAGCATCCAGAACAAGATCAGAACCTGCTCTGATGGTAACCAGATCACCCTGTAATCGGGCATCCAGTTCGGCTTTGGGTGGAGCTGTCAGTAGGCAAAACAGATATGAATGAATATCTGAGAGTTTATTTTCACATAAATTGTGATAATTTTAAAAAGGAGAATGTTGACTATTTCCTACCGTATTCATCTCGGCAAGTGACAGGGCCTGTAGATTCAGATCCTTTGCTAATTACGCCTGCTGCATTCTTGGCTAACACACGGAACTCATAAGTGTCTCCTTCACTGAGAGCAGTCACGGTGAAGAAATTGTCAGATACTATGGTATAGTTGCACTTCAGCCAGCGACCGTCTCCTACCTCACTGACTGGCTTACGCTCTATGATGTAGCCCACAACCTTGCTGCCTCCATCATACACTGGGGCAGACCAAATCAGTGATACTGTTGATCTTGTGACATCTGTCACCTCTGGTCTGCCTGGTGCATCTAGAAGGGATGCAAAAATAAGGTTAAAATATACCACTCTGAGTTCTACTAGAA